CTGTACAGATCTGCTGCATTCTTTCCTGCTGACAGAATACAGACACTGAGACACACAGAACTGACTCACCTTGATGTATCAGGAGCACAGTTAGCTAACTTCACATTAAATATCCCCCATCGTGTACACGCTGGCAGTCTTTGTAGAAAGTGACGGTTCACATTTGGTGTTGGGAAGTCAAACACACGACACAAAGAGAAAACAAGATCCAAACAACTCCAAAGACACATTACATGACTAAATAGAGACTTACAACTACTAATAGACAAACCACAAAGACAAAGCAACCACAAAGAGACGTAAAATTACTAGAAAGAGAAGCAAAGAAACTAAAAACTTAACACTACTATTACAAAATGAGACATCAAATTATTAAAAAGTGACACAAAACTACTAAAACGCGACTAACTAAAAAGAGATAAATGACTAAAGAGATAATAATAATAATAATATATGTTACTAAAACAACAAACAACTGAGACAAAGCAACCACAAAAAGACCAAACAAAATCCAAACGACAAAAAAAAGACTTTAAATTTTTAAAATGAAAAGCAAAAAGAGACTCAAACTACTAAAAAGAGAAATATAATAACTAAAATGAGATGTAGGCTAAAATTACTAAAAAGAGATGCAAAATACTTGAAAAGAGATAACAACTTAACAGTACTAAAAAGAGACGTTCAATTACAAACAAGAGAAAACTTGTTGTCTCTGTAAATAATGTTATAAGGAGTTCGGTCTAGACCTGCTCTACTTGAAAAGTGTCCTGAGAGAGGTAGAAATCGGTGCTATACAAATAAAATTTAAATGAATTGAATTAAATTATTAAAGAGATGCAAAAATAGTAAAAGGAGATATGAAAATATAAAAAAAAGAAGTTAAACGACTAAAACTACGTAAAATGACTGAAGAGACTAACTACTAAAATCACAGACAACTGCGACAAAACAAGATCCTACAAAGAGACCTCAAATGACTAAAAAGATAAGTTAAACAACTAAAAAGACGCACATTACTAAGAACAGATGTACAATTACAAAAAATACTATTATTATTAAATTCAATTAAAATTATTAAAAAGTGACACAAAACTACATAGAGACATAAAATGAAAGGAAAGAAACCCTAAAACAACTAAAATGATGTGAAAGTATGAGAAGGAGATTTTTAAAGGTCCAGTGTGAAACATTGAGGAGGATCTATTGTCAGAAATGTAATATAATATTCATAGGTATGTTTTCATCAGGGTCCTGAATATACGTTTTTTAGTTTAAAATGAGACATTTTTATCTACAGCGGGAGCGGGTCCTCTTGGAGTCCGCCATGTTTCTACAGGAGCCCAGAAAGCACAAACCAAACACTGGCTGTAGATAGGGGCTGTTTGTTTGTTGTCCTACTTGGAAATGAGTTGAGTTGTGATCTGCAACTACACCACAAAATCTTTAAATGATTAAAAAGAGACATATTTATTCTGTTGTGAGATATAAGTCGTATCTGACCAATCACAGAAGGGATGTCAGTTATTTCTCTTTGTCCACTCTAACACAGCCGAGCCAAACTAAAGCCAAGCTGATAAAATAATGGAAAACCCTGAAAAAAAAAATCCAATTTGAGCGATCGAATACGAGTTGTACTTTGTTTATCACTCTGATCAGAAAGGAGTTTCAGATTCAGGGAGAAATAATAACAACCGTGAATGCACAGGTATTCATTTAAAGCACAGAAACAAGGTGCACATGTTGACTTACCTTTTACAATCATAAATCATCCACTTATTTTAGCACTCAGATGGGAAGATTTCACTTCTGAAACTAAGAGTTTGGTAACACTTTATAATACAATTACAGTGCAATTTCACTGTATGAATCAGGTACAAATAAAACACATAGCTGGACATTTTAAAGGTAATAAATGACAATATAAGGATTTATATTATTACTGGGTACCTGTGGCGTTAACCTGTAAAGCAGTGGTTCCCAACCTTCTTCCTTAAACTGACAATAAACTGAACAATGATCAGTGAACTCAATAACTGCAGGAAGTTTGTGTAAAACCAGAAATCTGGATGAATTTTGAGTATATATATATATTATACGATTCTCTGTCAATTATGTATTTTAATCATTTTTTTAACAATCAAACAGACTTAAAAAGCTTCTTTCTTGACAAATTCAGTGTTTTCTTCACCCTGATACTTTTATCCATTGCTCTCATACAGCTTGTGTCCAGGTCATCAAACACTGTTAAACTAGATAAGTTCATTTATCTCAAACAATTGTTGAAACTGTTTACATCAACATTTTTAAATAAAATTAACTTCATTCTGGAAGTTCTTGATACAGAGCTTTAGTTGTTTTAAGTGATAATGACTTAATTTAGTGGTTTTTATTTGTACTGTAAAAACAAAATACCTAGTAAAATGTTATTAATCATAACTTACTAAGTTAGTGTCACTTATTATAAGTAAATTTATAATAAAAGCGTCTCAATCAAGAATCTTCTTTAATATTAAATATTAGGTTTGTGTTAAAGATTTCCGATTTCAGAGTTCAATTAACTTATCTGGTTTTACCAGTAGTTTTAAGTGTTAATTAATACACTGAAATATGATAAATTACTTTAATTCAGAAAAATTGTTGAAACGGATTACATCGAACATTGTAGGTTTTTGAGTCAAATTAACTGGTTTTACAGTTTAATCTAAACTTTAAAAATAAAAGTTTTCATTCACTTTTCCAAATGCTGAGTTATCGGCCAACTGTGTATATTTTTGAAGCTTTCTTACACCCCTTAAAATCAAGAAGGCCTCGCGACCCTCTGTGAAGCTTTGGTGACCCCTAGTGGGGGTCCCGACCCCTCGGTTGGGAACCAGTGGTTTAAATGACCAATAGCACCTCTTCTTGAACCTCTAGAAGATTACAAATGGCTACTAAAACCTCCCAAAGTAATCAATAACCTGCCTGGACATGTTGCATTCACTGCCTGAGTGATCTGTAGGAAATTACAGCTCCAAACAGTCATTTAAAAATCTCTCTCAAATATGAGTTTTCTGTTTATTTCGCTGTCGCTGTGTTGTTGTCACAGCAGCCTTCAGAGACTTTCTGCACTTCAACATGGTGTTCCTCTTTCAATCTCATCTCTTTGCATTTTTAAACGAGCACGTTTTGATTCTTTGCTGAGCCCCGGCTGACTGGCTGATCACACATTTTAGCTTTTAAAAAACAGAGATGAAGGCAGTTTTCTCAATCCCCTAAAGAGGGCAGTCAAACATGGGAGTTGAAGCTGCCGCCTGTCAGTCAGCTCAGACTGAAGCAGGGGGAGAAGACGACGCATGTTTGCTTTAGCTCTCATGTTTTCTGCTTCAAAAATAACCTCCAAGTCGCTTGAAAAAATGTCACCAGGACCATAAAACTCATCTGAACAAGTTCTGCTTCCTGCTGCCGCTGAGCAAAAAAACCAACAAACCGCTGGAGTCAGAAACCAGCTGAATATCCTCCTTTCTCAGCTCCCTTCTCCAAATTAGTAATTGATTTTAAGAGGAAGATAAATGATCTCTTTTGTGGCCGCCAGCTTTGAAATGAGGTGTATCTAGGAAACTCCCAGCGGATTGGGAGAACACATCCATTGAGGGGGCCAACTGGAGCGTGAGGGGGAACTAATCTCCCCATTTAAGAGTTTGGAGCAGATTTACGTAAATCAACCTTTTTTTCCCTCCTCAGTCAAATTCCAGAGGAAGAGTTGCATCAGAGTGCAGACTGCTCTGCCGGACTAAAGAAAACCTCCTTCAGGTCTGCACTGGGTGAACTGTTAATGTATTATTATCTTAAAGTCATAATCTGTATCATTTCTGCATTAAACAGTGTATAAACTCTGGAGCTACGTTCTATATGTAGTTGATTAAATCAATAATCTATAATCATTAAACAGTGTATGAACTCTAGAGGCGTCAGCGTTGTGGTTGTCTGCCAGAAGCTGTCATAAACTAACTGTTTATTCAGTCTGAAGCCACATTTTTTACCATCCACTGTTTAGATCTTGGGTGCTTTTTAACTTCTAGATTTGAAAAAGCGGATGGAATTGTTAGGTCATTCGGACGTCTGGATCTTAAGTTGATCAGGAGGGAAAAAGCTGGAGCTTTAACGTTAGAAAGCAGCTCGGCTCAGTCTGGTTTAAAAGTTTGACAGAAACGGAAATAAAGAAAAAATAAAATAATAATTTGGTTTAGTCAAAATTAAACCCTTAATTCAACGATTAGATGTTAAAATTGTTGAAAAAACTAACTGCGCCCGTCACAAGTACGTCCACAAAAAGTTTTTTGGCACTGATAAACCTTTAGTTTAACCAAAAACAGCAAACTCCACCAGACTTCCATGGGACAAAATTAAACTAATAAACTAATTTTCGTTAGCTTCATTCAAAAAGGTGGGACAGATTCTGACGTAGATTTGATAAAAACAGCCGCTTTCAGGGGTCGGAAGCAGACCGGGTATGGAAACAAACCACAGAGGGAGGCTTGCGATACAACACAGGCAGAGGGAGGAAGACACCATGTGACTCTGTATAGAGAAGATAACTGATATATTGATATTTAAATGTCATATAAAACCTTTAAGCTTTGTGAGGGTAGTGATGTAAATTTCATGGTCTGCCTAAGATTTATGCCTGTATGTGTGCTTGTAATTACATATGATTCTTTCTGGGGAATTAAATGGAAATTAGTAAAAAATAAAAAAGTAAAGGACTGGTAAAATAAAGTGTTACTGAAGGATAAAATTGGATGAATGTTATTGGCTTATATTAATCTCCAAAGTAACCAGTGACTCCAGCTGTCAAACACATGTAGTCGGGTTAAAATGGACAAATTATTCCATGAAATTTGGTGGAGGAAATTTTGGTAGAAATTCTCCCGAAATGGAAATATACAGGTAGAGTATGTGAGCCAAGGAGCCAAAACCCCCAGACGTGGATAATAAAATACTTTCACAAGTCGAGGATCAAATTTGCTTCACTTTTTTATTTTCAAAGTCAAAGGTTTGTGGGGCTCGAGGGAAGATAGAAGTCTATGAAAAAAGACAAACACACACAGTGTGAAAAGTGAAACAGTACAAGTCCTTTTCTTTAAAAACACGTTATGCAAAAGTCAGCAGCAGAGAACTCGTCACGACTCGTCTCTCATCGTCTGAGAGTCCACAGTCACGTGACCTCTGCCCGCCATTTTCCAGAGTTTCAGCCTCTTGAAAAAAGGTTTGTTGACGCGTCCTGAAGAGAACGCCTCGAGGGGAAATACAGACATCAGCTTCATGTGTTCAACTGCTGGAGAGGAGGAGAGGAGGATGCTCTGCTGGTGTCAAAGAGTCCATTTGAGGCTTCCGTAGTTGTAGTCCAGAGATGAACAGAAGGTTAAATCAGTTGGGTCTGCTGACGTCACAGGAAATGATCAAATCCAGAGACGCCACGTCGGCGTTTGGGATCCAGAAGACTCCTCCGCGCAGCTGTTTATGATTCCTTCCATCTGTCGCCACATCGTCTTTGTGTTTGTGCTTCAGCTGTTCCAACTTTTTAAGTCACAGAGCGTCTCCGGTGGCCATGGAGACGCAGCGGCTGTCAGGTGTTTCCCTATCGGGCCAGGTAGATGCCCGCAGGGGGGGTGAGGGTTGAGAGGAAGACGGGTGAGGAGGCGTGAGGTCCTGCTCCACGCCTGACCGGCTGATAAGAGTCCTGCAGAGGAAACAGAAAGCAACAGGCAGTAAACACACTGAGAATCAGTCGATAATGGACTCTTCGTCGGTGCTAACGCTGCTAACATTAGTACTAGTCAGGGTTTCCACTCTTTTTAAGAAATCATTTTCCAGGCCCTTTCCAGGACATTTTCCAGGAGTTTTTCTTGACCCTATATGACAGCACTTGCTTACAAACGGTCACATAAGCTGCGGTTTCGGGCAAATGGACTACATTCATTTGGCCTCTCGCTTCGCAGCTCTGGAAAAAATAGACTCGATGCCGAGAAGATCAAGCCAGTTCCACTCTGCGTCTGGTGAACCTGCTCTGAAATGTATCCTCCCAACAGTGAAGTTTTAAACTAAATACGAGCATGAAGTTATGATCTGAGGGAGGGGCTAAAATGCAATCAGATATTTTCAAGCACAACATAGATTGTTTCCAGGATATTTGATCAATTTCTGGGTGTTTCCATGACTCAAAACTGTCTACCAACTCTTCCTGCCGGGACTGTTTTATGATCATCTGCTCTCAAACCCCCCAAATATTCTGTCAATAGAGATGTTAGTCCCGCAGGTGAAGTAAGGGAAAATGCCATTATCAGGGATTAATGGACAACATGGAGGCCAGAACCATCTGTGCAGCCAAAACAACCAAAGAACGAGTAGAACAAAGTGTTTGAGAAAAAAAATGAACTGAATTTGCCAGAAAAGATGATATATGATTGTTAAAATATTACACAATACAGAGAATTGTATAAAAAGCTTCTAAAAATATCACGAAAACTCTGATTGATCTGTGATCAATGTGTTCTCTGTTTGGGTTCATTGTACAGGTTATCAGTCCTCTACCGTTACTGTAATGCATTAAATATAGTATAAAGAGCTCCTATAAGGAAAAAGGTTGGGAACCAGAGCTTTAAAGGACCAGTGTGTAGGACTTTATCTAGCTGTCGTGGTTGCAGATTTAAACTCCCTTGCCTAACCCTCTTCATCCTAGGAGAAACTACCATGGAAAGCCCCTATCTAGAGTCAGTGTTTGGTTTGTCTGTTCTGGGCTACCATAGAAACATGGCGGACTCCACCAGAAGAGGACCCGCTCCCTCTGTAGATAAAAACATTCTGAGGTAACAAAAACACAACGGTTCTTATTCTCAGGTAATTAAACACTAATAAAAACACACCTATGAATATTATATTCCATTTCTGCCAATAGATCTTCCTAAATGTTACACACTGGCCCTTTTTAATTAATGTTGTTTA